TTAACTTTTTGGGTTGTCTCATTTCCAAATAAAATTTACAAGGTGGAATTTTTGTAAACTGGTGCCTGTCATGGAGTAGAAGCTCCTGTTTCCTTTTGATAAATTTGGCCAGTCAGGGGCCCTTAAAATGAAGAACAGGAAAGTGCTGATCATTCCAGATATCACTCAAGGAGTCTGGACACAGCACTAATGACCCTCAGGTCATATATTAGTGCAATCAACACACGGGCAAGTTATTTCACTCACTGCTATAGATGATAACCCCTAACCCCACTGCCCATTCATCAAACACATGAGAAATGTAAAGGGACAGACAACCTTGTCCCCACTCTAGGGGAAAACCCAATGTATATACCTTGCACCACGGGAGCCCAGAGAAATTATCTTTGTACACAAAAGCTGAAATAATATAAACTTGGAAAGCAACAGGTTTTGAAAACTCTAAAAATTTATGTTCGGGCTTCCAAACAATGTTCTTCTTCCACCCTTCTCCCCTCCCCAATAAACTGAGACACAAAGTCTGGGATTTGAGAATTACAGCTATGATCCTTGCCAAAGTGACCAAATTACAATCAATGCCGAAGGCTTTTGGCACCAGGAAGTTTCAATAGACTAGTGTCTGCTGAACCATCACAACCTCCCCTCCCCCAAAGTGCTCAGGGAATAGCCATTATCTCATTAATTCTTAAGAAATATCTACTCAAAAGACACACAGAGAGGAATGCTTTTATATATCTTACAGAAGGGGAAACAAACAGAGATGATTTATAATTCAAAGTCAGATCGTGGCATCTCAAGAGAGGAGGAGTATTGGCAGGTCATGCTGATTTTCAGAAAGTTGTTGGGCAAGTTTAGAATGCAATTGGAAAGTTTAGCAGAATAGCTAGTTCCTTGACAGGAACCAGGAGAAAGAATCTCAGACAATGAAGGCAGATTTCTGGCTCCTCGTCAAGGTGCTGTCCTACCTTGACCAGGAAAAAAATGTAACTTAGAGACAGTGTAAATATGGGCATATCCACAGTGGAAACTCTCTTACAGTGCAAGGAGAGTACATGAACATGAGATGAACACATGAGATGTCTGAATGTATCATTAAACGAAGTTGTGGAATACCTCTATAAATATTGAAAAATAAGAATGGTTCAGAGATTACTATTTGCCAGTAGTTCAGGAATGGACACATTGATGTTTTAAGGCCATGACAACCTTGGGAATCAAGGATGTTCAATAACTTCTTTCCAAGCATTCACCTTAGTTCATAAATCTAAGAGATTAATACAAAGTTCCAGAGAATACTTAAAGTATTTTTATAACCAGAATTTCATTCTATCCTCATAACAACCATGTTAAGGACTTGTTATTCCCAATTTTATAGAGAAGAAATCAGTGTGAGAAGGTTCAACAACTTGCTATGAAAATTATAAGAAACAAAAATTAGAGACAGTACCAAGTGTTGGTGATACCATCAAGAGTTGATAATTTGAGCTCTGGTTCTCAATTTAGTTACTGCTATGTTTGTAGTGGCACAGTGGTCTGGTGTCACAATGAGAAAGACACCTAACTAAGTATTCAATACAATTTTGTCATAATTGGTATTAAATAGTATAGCTAGTATTTAATATAGAATTGATAGGGTCAAAGGAAAACGCCAACTCCAAATCTACATATTTCTTTGAGAGAGTAAAGCAAGTCTTTTTATTCAAAGATTTAGCTTCCTACTGGAAGACTCTGAAGAAAACTTTGGATGATTTCACAACGTACAAAATACTTTAAATTCATACCAGTGTGGCTATATTTTATTGACGATTTTAATACTAACTACTCTCGGTCATAAACTTCAAATCAATCATCCAATTAAAGTCGTTATACCATCACTGTGGCAAATTACTGCTTAAATAAAGGGGAAATGCAGACACATGCCGAGGTTCTCGTACATCCTTCTCAAGTGTTCATCGTTATCAATGTCATCCCAGTTAAAAGTGTGCAAACCCCTGTAAGTTACTTCCTTCACCCTTCTCCTTTTCTCATGTGCCAAATAAGGGAACCGAATTAGATGATGGGTAAGGTTTTTGTTGCTGCTGCTGTTTAATTCTCAGACTACATGATATAACAGAACAGGATTCCTACCCAGTTTGAGAATATATATGTGTATCTTCTTACATTAAACCAGTGCCACTGATGGAAAATTTAAATATTATAGAAGTTGAAACTAGAAACTAGCCTCTGAGCTTCTATCCGTTACTTCCGAAATATGAACGTGGAACGTGCTGAGGGACGCAGACCAGCTCTGCTTGAGAGACGCTCACGTGGATGACTCAGTGCTGGCTGAGCCCTTACAGCTAAGATTCAGGGAACGCTGGATGTTTAAAATCTCCAATATACACAGTTCTTCAGGTCAGTCATTATAAAAAGACCTACTTGGCAAGTTTTCTCCTGGTCTTCTTGTACGGGAACCACTTGTGATTAGGCTGAAGGAGTTGGCCCCTAATGCTGAAACTCCTCAGCTGCTCACAACCTCTAAAACCACTTTCATTTTCATTTCAAGAGAAAAGAAAACAAACATCTGACTCTCAGAAGAGACCAAGGGATCCATCTTGATGTTGGAAATCTGGCCACAGGCATGGAGGGAAGGCTCACAGGAGGAAGGTTTGGAGTTTTCTGGCATTGGTTTGGCTTATTTTCTTTAAAACTTAAAACCTCAGCTCTAAGGTAGGCTACAAAGCTCACCAAAAACTCTAAGCACCATTATTACCAGAAAGCCCAGTAGACCCACATTTTGGTCTCCATTTACAGAAAAAAGTGAACGCTACACACATGCATAGATTCTATGGGGCAATGGCAGCCTCCCTGTTCAGAAGGCTTAAAGAAGAGTTCAAATGAAGAGTATTTGTGCCCTCAGACAGAGAAACAAAACAAACACATCAAGTACTAACTGCCTTAGTTAAAATCCTTTGTTGAACAGGCAAACAATTATGAGATAAGAAATAAGAATGACCAACTGCTTTGATGTTTTAAAAACAAATATTCATTTACCAAAACAGATGTGATTACTTTCATGAGTGAATGACATGTTACCAAGCATTCAGAGAGAAACAAATAGAGTAATAGCAATCTAAGAAGAAACAGAGAACACAAGTGAGCTTAGTATAATATTGCGAAAGAAAACATTCAGTGGAGTTTCTGGTTAGTCAGAGAAGCCTTCCTGGAAGAGGAAAATGGAGGCTGGCTTTGGAATACAGAGATTTTTCTTTTGCCTTTCTGAACTATTATTTCAGAAATAATAGTTTTCTGTTTCTATAGATGAGATTTAAAAAGCTAGTCTGGTTACAAGATACACTTACCCCCATCTCATATGAATCTAACTGCATGGACATATATTTTATAGTTTATCAGTTGACTTCTTGCCTGGAACTTACTATTAGGAAAAAAAATCAAACTGTTTCATGCAATATGTCCTCTTAAAATTTATTCTGATATTTAGTTATTATTGGGATATTTTTCTCATGGCAATACAATTTCAGTGAACTTGAGAGATGAAAAACTTTGATCATGATTTTTATCCATAATTAAAGTCTGTGAGAAAATCTGATTTGATCCACAGAAAGCTGCATTCAGACTTTTCCAGTTGTTTTTTTTCTCCTGTTAGTTGCAGCTGATCTCATAATTGTAGCACTAAGAAATGAACTGATGATAAACCCTACCATATAATTTAAGAAGGAAGGTTGATGATAGTATCATTTGATATTATACACTCTTCAAAACACTGCCTCAAATCCTCTTAGATGTGAATTTCACAAAATCCTGGTGCATCAGGTAGATTCAGAAATTGTTAGTACTGTTTCACACAGAAGGGAAAATGTGAGAAGGAAGAAAACCAGCTCACACTCACATAGCAAATCAATAGTAGAACCAAATACCGTAACTTTTCCCTCAACACCATCTTTGCTACTATCAAAACACTAATGCAAAAAATGAGACCAACTATCATATGTTGGGGGCTGATGGTGTGCCAGGATCCATGTATCACCCCACCGAATCATCACTTAGAACAACATTATGAGTAGTCATTATCTCGTGTTAACGACACAGGGACCAAGGCACACAGAATGGCAGGACCTAGAGCCTTTGGCTAAGATCTCACAAGTGTTTGGCAGAGGTGCGATTCATCCTCATGCCAGTTTGACTGCCTGATAATCTTAAACTCATGTTCTTATGGATGGCTGGTGGCTCTCAGTTTTCAAGTCCTCAAGACATTACTCAGAAGTCAACTTCTCAATGAGGCTTACCCTGGACACACTGTTGAAAACTGCAGACCCTTCCCCGCCGTGCCCAGTCGACACTCCTTCCCCTGCACTAGCATGTGATCGGCATGGCAGGTTTTGTGTTTAGTACTGATTGTTAATGTAAGCTTCATAGGGCAAGGATCTTTGAGAGATTTTCTTTTCTACATCTTTAATCAACATATACCAAATGCTAAGACAATGCTATACAGAATTTTTGTAATGATGGAAATGTTTTATATCTGTGCTATCTAATGTGGTAGCCACTAGCCTCAAAGTGGCTGGTGCAGTTGAAGAACTTTTTTATGTTATTTAATTTCATTATTTAAATAGCCACATGTCACCATACTGGACAGTGCAGGCCTAGAACAATGCCTAGCACAATAAAACCCCGATTAATATTTGTTAAACAACTGAATTTGTAAGTAAGACATTTTCCATATAGTCTACAACTAATTTCACTAACAGTAAATTACATTATATATTTCTTCCAACAGAAATAATGGCTGAAAAAGTCCTGATGAAATTTTGAAAATTCAGACAATATGGCCAAAACACCACAGACTTCCTGAACTATTGGTTCCTTTTCGCCATTGACAATTTGAAACCTTCCAAAACATTTTCTGAAAACAGTGAAAGCAAACAAGCAGCACATAATGAATTCCCATGAATGACAAAAATATAGATGTAATTACAACTATTACTATAATCACTCAATACCTTTTTGACCTTGTTTTTTTTCTCATAGGTCTCTGACAGAGGCTTTTTCTTCTGCTGAGTTGTGTCTTTGGAGAACAAATACTCAAATTCACTGGGGTCCCGGATGTTAGGTTCTTCTAAGGAATCCCATAAGGTTGGCGTAGCATTTTGGCTTAAAGAGAAAATGACATGTTAACCGTAATAACCAAAACAGAAGAGAATACAATGACATCTTTCTTTACATCCTTTTTTATTTCATCTTTTAAAAACATAAAAAAAACCCTAATAAAGCTTGGGGACAAGCATTTCATGTTACACTTTTTTAAAAGTCAAAATATACTATAGAGCATTAAAATATACACACATACACTCTCTTCCAAAAAAAGGACAGTCATTAGATACAATCAAAGAGAGAGCTCTAGAAAAACCTCTTGGGACCAGAAATCCTGGGATTCAAACTGCAGGGGCCACCCAAGCTGCTCCTCCCTCAGTCTGTGGCATTTCCGTGATGGGTAAAAATGGGCGTCATACAAAGGCTGAAGAGATAACCAATTTTGAGAGTTTGACAGGATAATTCCTAAGTAGACTGAAAATGAGTACTAAGATAAAGATCTGTCCCCTCTTTGAAATTTTTCTACCAGTCTTAAATATGGTTTTCAGGATTAATGCAGGTAAATTCAGCAGAGGGCCCTTCATATGTTGACAGGCTATGCCCACTTAAAAATACTGATTTCTAATACCTCAGCCCCCTAAATAACAATATTAACAATAGAAACTAACCAGAAAACTCCTCCATGATACCCTCATGGGGATTCAACTAAAGCAGCCCTAGGGAAACTGTGTTCTGTTTTGTCTTCTAGAAACAAGGGTACCCTAGAGTTTCGAAGCAGAGAGAGAAAAGCTGTCAAAACTCGGGTACATCAGAACAGCCTCTGAGCTGACTCAGAGGGGCCGCTACCCAGGCTCCCCTCAGGACACACTTTCTGCCAATGTTTACTTTCCTAACTTACCTTAATTTTAAATACTTAACTCCCATAGCCAGAAAAATATAAGCCTCATTTACATATTTATTATTTTTCGAACATACATATATGTATGATCTATAACATCTAAAAGTATTTACCTTTGTTTAAATATATATTTTTTTCAGTCGATGAAAATTAAAAAGACAACTACTATTATATAGGAAAGTCTACAAAATTTTTAATAGTACAAGGTGATTTTATTTAAAACAGTTGGTAACACTGGCTTTTCAGATCTATGTGTTCAAATTTTGCAACAGGTCTATCTTTCCCATAAAATATGATATTTTGTCTCTGGCTACATTCACCTCTTCTCCCCTCTACTTTTTGTTGTTTTTTTATTATAATTTCTCTAATAACTGAACCACTTAATAGTATGTATGGAGCATATGTAAGTTATAAAGTATATAATAATACAATGAACATCTGGGAGACCATCAGCCAACCCAAGGGCTACAACAGTTCCAGTGATGTACATCTACGTGTTCCTTCCTCAGCCAGGCCCCTCTGCTACTCATTTAAATTTGAAACACAAACACCATTAACATTTAGTGCTTATCTCAGTAGCACTGAGGAAGGGGGATCTTAATTGGGAAGACTGCCAGAAAATTTTGGAGCATGTTAAGGGCCATTGGTCTGGGCCTCAGGAAGATTCTGGGCAGCTAAAGAGAGGTGCATAGAAGATCCTATATGTTGGACAGACTATTCAGACCCATCCCCCATCCTGCACCTGCTTGGCTCCAGCTCCACAGGTTCTGAGTCAGGCCAGTAAGACTAGTGTTATAACTCACTCATATGCTGGAATAAATTGGCTTTGAGAGTCAAGTTGAGCACCTCATCACCATTTACAACATTGTTTCTATGGGAAAGGCATTTCCAATACTGAGTAAAAGAACTGTGGAATACCACCTCTCAGTGAGTTGGGGGAAAGTGGCATTTGACAGATCAATAATAAGGACGTGCTTACGATGGATGACCTGTCATAATGGTCAACTGTTTCTGACCACTGAACATATAATTCTAGCACAAAATGGAGAAAAAGGAGGAAGGAGGGGAGGGAGAGACTGGAAGGGAGATGGGGAGGAAAAGGAGAAACTTACCAGGAAGCTAAAAAGGTTGTTAGAAGAGAATTTATTTTTATTTAACTAAATGTCCATTTCTTATTACAGAATTCAGAAAACAGACACCAAAGGAGGAAAATGCAAAAGAAAAAAAAATCAGTTCATGCTAGGAGGGAAAAGCAAGGTAGGTAGATGAGAAGCAGTGCAAACATAACATTGAAAATTTACAGTTTGTGCCTGGTTCCCCAGAAGACCAAGACCAAATTTTATCATGTACACATTATACAAAGTGCCTATCCCTCTGGTTGTACAAAATATTAAAATACCATGTCACCTCCTTTAAAAGAACACACTCCAAATATTTTTACTTTTCTTCCATAAATTAACACTACAGAGACCCTTTAGGACAGTTTTCATTTAAAGAAGTAGTCATACTGAGAGGTGCAAAATATTTTGAGGGACCCACAATTAAAGAGATCTAATGTGTGGTGCTGGCAGGAAGTGGCCACACTGGTATCTCAACACACAGAGAAGCAGCCTCCCCGCCTGGGTTCAGGCTCAAGGCTGACACATTCACCAAGTAGGGCTCTAGCGATGTCCCATTCATCTACTTTTCATTTTCCTCGATTTATGGTAAAAGCAATAAGAGCTTGAGTATTCAGTTTTCTTCTTTCTCAGAATGGCCAACTACATAAGGAAAAAAAAATGCAGACGATGATAAGCCCCAGCTTGCCTTTATCCAACCTTGAATAGTGGGCAAAGGGCCCATATCTCCCGGTGGGACTGTTTTGTGTCTGCTATGGTCTATCATAGTATCCGTTGCTCATGAAGTTTCTCAGGGAATGAGGTGAAGGCAAACTAGTGAGACACAGGTGTGGGACAGCTTCATGCTTTGGAACACACTACTCCAGGGCCGGCAGGTGGGACTCATCACCCTGGAATAGCCGCACACTAATTTGAGAACACTAATAAAGGAATATGACCCGAAATAAGTATTCCAGGAAATTACTTCTTAGGAAATTATTTCTTAGGAAATATCTGAGTCTTGATTGGGAAAAGGGGAATACTAGTACTTCAATTAATGGTAGAAGCTATTATATGATCATCTCATTTTTTTAACTATTCATTTGGGAAATTATAAAGCATAATTAAATTTTGAAAAAAGTATCAGGATATTCTACAAATAAACTCTTAGCCTTAACTTTTTGGTGAGAGGAAAGAGGACAATATGAGGTATGTAATCAACTTAGTTCACCATATGCTTAAAGGTAAGTCCTAGTCCTATAGTGATTTCCAGTTGTTTTAATTTGTTAATATATTTGTTTTAGAGACAGGGTCTCACTCTGTCACCCAGGCTGGAGTACAGTGGCATCATCACAGCTCACTATAACCTCAAACTCCTGGGCTTAAGTGATCCTCCTGCCTCAGCTTCCCAAGTAGCTGGGACTACAGGTGCGTACCACCACACCCAGCTAATTTTTAATTTTTTTGTAGAAACAAGGTCTCACTATGCTGCTCAGGCTGATCTTCAACTGGGCTCAAGCAATCCTCCCACCTCCCCACTTTGGCCTCCCAAAGTGCTGAGATTACAGCCATGAGCCATTGAGCCTGGCCCCAGTTGTTTTATAATTGTGAATTGCATGTTATTTTTAGTATCCAGCTTTCTCTAAGGAAAATGTTATATAAATTGAAGAACTCATTATTATCACAGTTTGGTTTGGGGGCTAAGTTTTAAAATGTGTTCTATATTTGTTGCTTTCTGCAAACAAATTTCAAAACTAGAAAGGGGTCAGAAAATAACTCATCATTTCTTTCATTGTCCTCCTGACAGGCTCAAAGAGGAGGCAGAAGAAATCAAACTCAAATCTGTTTGAATGCAAGGGTCCAAGTGACCATGAGCAAGATGCTTTAGAAACCCAGCTTCGTAACCTGTACAAATGGAAGATGCTTTTTAGCTATTCACATACTGGCACTTCTCTGAAGGGCAATAAGATATAAAGAAAGACGTGAGAGGATTTAATAGTTAGAGGAAACACAGTTCAAGCAGAGAGAGATTCTATTTTAATACTGATGGGTTGATGAAACCATCTAAAAACAAGATGGTGAATCATAAAAGATACCCTAAAAATCCTCAGTGAATCTACCGTATAAATTCAGGCTCAATTTCTTTATGATTATTCATTAATTGCAGTGATGTCAGAGAAGGTCCTAGCTTAGACTTGGATTTTTCTTTAGTCTATAAAATGGTACATTTAACTTACAGAGAACCCAGACCCTGAACACATTGTTTCTCCCACCCTCAACCCATAGGAGAATGTCTGCCTCCACCAGGTCTTCTCAGAGACACTGCCAGACATTCTTCCCAAACATCCCAACCTTGTTAATCCAAGGCATTCACTGTGTCACATTTGATAATGGGTGCCACACTATGGAGATGTTGAACTGGTAACAATAAAACATCACATGGGCAAAATCCTGGGAATTCACAAGCTGAGAATGGGTTAGGGGAGAACTTACCTCCTATCATTTATTTGTATTCTAGTCCAGTATAAAGGCTTCATGGGACAACTGGGCTCAATGGCTGGTTTTCGAGGACACTGGCTGGAAGAAGAGCTGAGTCCAAAGAAGAGCCCGGGAGGGGGTGGGGGTGCAAGTCCTGGGGGTGCAGGAGCAGGAGGGGGACCCCCGGGGCTGGGTGGAACCAGGGAGCTAGGAAGCGGTGGTGGGGGCGGTGGTGGTGGAGGTCCGGCACTTGAAGGTAGAGGCGGTGGCGGAGGGGGCGGCGGAGGCCCAGCACTCACAGGTGGCATTGGAGATGCTGGTGACAAAGGTCCAAGTCCAGGTGGGAGGGGAGGAGGGGGAGGAACGGATGAGGGTAACGGCGGTGCGGGAGGGGGAGGTGACGTCTTCTGCTGATTTGATGACATGCCTTCCACAGACTGAAGTGGTGTGTGGATGTCTTTGCAGTCATTTGGGGGAGAAAGTTGGCCTAAAGAGGAGATATTCAGCTTTTTGGGTACTATTTGGTTACTTCTGGTTGTCTTGCTTTCACCCTCACAGGGCTTGAGAAAGGTCTCCCTGTCTGTCTGGATGCACACGTTTCTGAAGGTTTTTGGAGGGCAGTCGTCGTCGGTGGAGATGCACGCGTCTCTCCTCTCCTCACATCCTCCTCGCCATCGGTGTTCTAACTCGTGTTTGAGATTCTCAATGGTTTCTTCTAGTCTCGCTGTTACCATCGCATGCTCCCCCCGGATATGAAATGCCTGAAGTTCAAACTGGGCCTGTAGGAATCAGCGAGAATGTAATGAGTATTAAAAAAAAGAAATCAGAAATGAGAAGTTCAATAATACCTTCACTGTGTCCCTGGAGCAATGCCCATGTATTGAATAATGCAGAGAAATTCTTTGGTGAATCCAAAAGGGTGTAAATTTCATTTTATGAATTTTCCAAGGACCTACACAGTTGGGAGTCAAAGTGTAATTTCATATAATCTGAGCTCAGGAGGGATAATTATCATGGATTAAGGTTTAAAGTAAATCTGTTACCTAAGAACTTTTGCCAGGTTTGAGTATCAAATGCAAAACAAAACTTTTAATAAAGCTTTGGACATGTTTGAATATATGTTTTAGAACTTCTGGTTTTGGTTCAGAAAAAGAAAACTATAAAAAAAATAGATTTGGAGAGCCTTCTGGCTTGAAGCTGCTATTCTCACATCAGGTTTCTAGGATAATACAGCAGAAACAATAGGCATGAGAAGAAGCAATGATAAGTATTTTTAACAAGTTCCTATTAATGTATGAAAGCTTCCCAAGATCAGTATTTGTGTCTGTTTCATAATAGAGTAATAAATAAGCAATATAAATGAATGATATTAAAATATACTATTTTCTACTTTCTACAGCATTTTAAAGGGTATTTTATAAGACAGTAGCCTTTGAAATACGTATTGCTTCAGTTATTTTAATGCATTGAGTCTATGGTTTTATACTTGTTAGCTCAGAGTTCATGTACTCTCAGTCATAACTAGTCCATTTCCCAGCATTCAAAGCCATTTAGCCTGTTACAGTTAATTGGGAAGCAATCAAATTTAGAATTTTATTAGAGTTTCCAAAATCCAATGTAATAGTAATTAAATATTTTTGGTGAATTTATTGAATTTCTGCCTCCCTCATCAGATTACAAACTCCACAAGATAAAATCAGTGACAGTACTGTCTCTATTTCTGTATCCTGGCAACTAGCACAACAAATATATAGCATTGAAGAGATGAATGGATAGAAGAAACCACTGTGATAGTTATATTCACTGACATTGTCCCAAGAGCCTTTATGGGACAATGGCCAATCAAGACTTTCTTCACTATACTTTCAGCCCACAAATATCTAAAATATCTAAGTATATACTAGTGCAGATTCCTTTTGCTCTGAAAACAAAGAAATATTTTTAGTAGTCTCATCAGGCAAGGTAGAGGCATTGAAAGCTTCTCTATCTTCATTATAATAACCTTTAATTATTATTTTTTTTTTTTGGAGACAGAGTCTCACTCTGTTTCCTGGGTTAGAGTGCTGTGGCGTCAGCCTAGCTCACAGCAAACTCAAACTCCTGGGCTTAAGTGATCCTTCTGCCTCAGCCTCCCAGGCATACAGGCATATGCCATCATGCCCAGATAATTTTTTAAATATATTTTTGGTTGTCCAGCTAATTTCTTTCTTTTTTAAAAAAATAGAGACAGGTCTCACTCTTGCTCAGGCTGGTCTGAACTGCTCCTGATCTCTAGCGATCCTCCCGCCTCAGCCTCCCAGAGTGCTAGGATTACAGGCATGAGCCACTGTGCTCGGCCTGTAAATTTTCCCTAATAACCATTCTCACAAACCTCTTACTGGAATAGCCTGGTGGAATAGTTAGAAAATTTTAACAGTTTTTCTTTAGTTTCTTCATCTATAAGTACAGCTGCTCAAGGACACTGCATGGCCTGAATGCTACAGATATCCATGTGACTCCCTGCCAGATGCCAGAGGATGTCTAGACCTGTGCAAAAGCCCATGCAGACCAGAGCAGGCCACCTCCAGTTACCTTTGGCTTATTAACATATCATTATAATATGAAAAAACCCTCCCCTAGGAAAATATATAAATCGCTGTTTTCTGTATATGCGATATATGAAAAAGCATGTACGTGAACTGTATCCACACATCTGAAACTCTACCCTGTACGTACTTACACACCTCCTCTATCTGGTATCTGAGTCTTTAAAGCTCCCACGCCTCCCTTTGCTCAGGGAAAAGGTGCCTTTAGAGCATAAGCTCCCTTTCTTCATTCTTCGGCCGCTGAATTAAAACCTGAATGCCTTACCAATTGCACCTTCCTTTTTTTTTTTTTGTGGCCAACATAGAGTAGGGAAAGAACATAGTTTTTTTGGTAACAAACCAACCCTTAAATAAACAGCTATAGAACTTAAAGACAAGTTTTACCAAGGCTAACCTCTTATGTGGGCATGGCCACCCTGAGCCAACTCTGAAGGAAGGAGCTAGTTCAGAGCATCGTCTGTTTCTTATATAGCACAGAGGTTAAGTACCTGAGCTTAGATTCATATCACCTGTTTCAAGTACAAAGTAAGGATTACAGTGAGCGATCTCTAGGGCTTTTATAAAGGTAAAATAAGATACTTGATATAAGACAGTAGGTATCATGCCTAAACTCAGTTCTGGATGAGTGTTACTGTTAGTTCCTGTTGCTAATGATAATATTAGAGTATGAGACTAACACGTTCCTAATTATTCTTATACTTTTTAAAATAATGCCACCTTTGTTGAGTGATAGACATAAAACTAGGGAAGGCTCAAGCCATCAGCATAAGCAAAGTACTACAAATGCAAAAGTTTTATCCAGTTTTTTTGTGAGTTCTACTACCAATTAAATAAAATGGAAATGAGCTGGTAAGCGGTAGACAACTACAAACCCTCTGTTCACTTTTAGGTCAGTGTTCTTTAGGACATATAAAGCTTCATGTGCTTTCCTTTTTCCCTGCTAAAAAACAGCTGCTTTTCTGCAAGGACCTCAACACATCATTTGAAAGGAGACAAGTGCTGAGATCTGACAGCTTTCCAGTCTTCAAGCTTTATCCAACTTCCTTTACTTAAAGCCTGTTTGCTTCTATTGCTTTCATTTTTAATCACATCCTTTTCACACTTGCAATAGTCAGTTAATCTATGCCCATCTTCTAAGCAAGATTCAAACCCACTGCCTTTGGGAAGGCAATCCCAATTCAATCATTGTTTCAACCATCCTTTTCTTTCAGTGGCAGTTTTCATCTTTCTAATGGAGTGGTTAGGATCACCTGGAGAGCTTTGTATTAGAGATGGTACGAGGGCTCAGCTCCATCTCCAGAGATTCTCATTTAATTAGTCTGAGATAGTGCTCTTGCACTGATATCCTTAACGCTGTCCATGGGATTCTGATGGGCACCAGAAGTGAAACCAACAGCAACTGTTCCTAATCTTTATTCTGCTCTAACACCACTGAGATAGCGTAACATCACATTATCAGTGGGTTCTTTTGGCAATGACTTTCACTTGAGTCATTTCAGAATCTCCAAGGAAACACGTGTTATTCAATAAAGCCCCTTCCTAATCTGATATGTACCAATAAGGGGAACGTCCACTTTCGTTGCCCACATTGAGAATAGTTATTCTACACAGCAGATAAGCCTACATTTTTTCTGTAATGTTCACTGCTCTTCAAAACTTGGCTTCTGCCTACGTTTTCAGATACTGCCCTACACTTTCCCTGTGTTGTGCCACCATAGATTCAAACATAGGACCAACTCCCATATCGTTATGCTTTTGCACATGTGATTTCCTCTACTTAGAACATCTGTCCATTTTTACTTGTGAAAGCCCTGAAAAATTTTAATCAAGCTCAACTGAACCTTTTGGCTTACACTTGTCTTGATTCTTAACAAAAGTTTTCTTTTGTCTTTGTTTCCAAAAGGGGCTTTCTAGGTTTATGTCGCATTACAGTCATTTATGTTTATCTTCTTTGCAAATCTAAAACCTCCAGGCAGTTGGGGGCCACACCTCATTCATGTGTGAACTTCCAGAGCATTGCACACTGCTTGACTAGTTAGTGATCCACAAATGCTTGAATTGATTTTTTTAGCTTTAAATATTAAGACTTCCTCGTGCCTCTGTATTATGTACCTAATTATACATGAAGCTCAAAAACAAGAAATTAAAGGAAGATGAAGTTCCCTTCCTCTTCGCTATTCCCACATGCAACATAAACTGTAAGAACACCTCATAGTTGTCGATTTTTAACCATTACATATAGACTGACATTGAAACTAGAGCAGATATACTGAAAGCTCTTCTGATCTGTTTTCTACTTTCTTCACTTTTGGCTTAGAAAACTCAAAACATTTAAGTTTTTTTTTTTTTTTTTTAAGTGAAAGTACTTCTAAAAGTTGATGTTGATGTGTTTAGTTTTAATGATTCGAAATAAAGTAGACAAGAATTCTCTCCACAGTAAGCTCAAAGGCTATTCCCTCACGTATAATAAACTATCCAGTAGAACTGAACTGCATTTGTGATTCTAATCTGATTAGGAACTGGGCTCTAGGCAACTCCCCCAGCCTCCTCTGGGGCTGGTTCTCCCTTCCCCTACCAAATCCTTATTATTTTTTAATATCCTCCACATTACCAGTGCTCAGAGATATCATCGAAGGAACACACTGTACTGAAACCCAAGCAACAGAGGGAGACTTTTGCCTGTCTGGTCCCCACAAGCATGTCTGTCAAAAAGAAGGTGGAAAAGTGCCTTCTGATGAAAGACATCATGATGGTGCCAAGCACTGTGGAAAAATCATCCATTAGTATTTTGTTGTTATGAACGTTCTCTCCCAGCGGTGCTGCCAGAGCCAATAAAAAATCAGGTTATCTGCTGTACAACTTGAGTAAGTCAGTCTTTTCCAGGGACTTTTCCAAATTCTCTATCCCTAGCTTGGGGAAAGCCAGACAATTCCTAGGGGCTGCAGAGAGGCACAATACAGCATCACCACATCAGAAACGTGCAGTGTGAGCAGAGGGGGTAAAGGAAAATGGGACTGAGAACACAAAACACCTGGAGGGATGACGTTCAGTTCTTAGAGAGTGCTTAGACAAGGCATGGAGATGGTGGTCCTATGGCCTTGGATGTGGGCACCAGGTTTTTCTGTTTCATATTTGGAGCCTGTGAAAAGACTTCAATAACCCCCTACTTAATTGACTTATACTTGCCACTTGAA